ACTTTTGAAACAAACAAAAACAAAATAGGTTCTGACGCGCAAATGTAGTTTCTGATTTGTCCTTCTTTCATTTAGTGGAATCTAAGAAGGAATCATATACACCATCGGGCTACAATCCAATCCTATTTGCTGTCTTGTATGTGACGTTTATGGCGGATGCTTTGGCATAACGGGATCACTATCCTGTACAGTACTAATTGTATGTTATATGATTGCAGAGTTTCTAAAGATTCACTCTGGGAATTATAGATCTTCAAATAAGATTCCGCTTAACTATACACCTTTGTCTGCATATTTCTCTGCATAATTTTTTAGAGATTTCAATATTTCAGTTTGGAAAATTAACTTTTGACATCCTAATCGCCTCGTTTTTTGTGTATACATACATACACATACGCAACATGCACACACAAACATATATATATATATATATATATATATATATATATATATATATATATATATATGTATGTATATATACATGTATTTATACTGCAGATATGTATATTTATGCAAATGTATAAGTATATGTATATATATATATATATATATATATATATATACATATGCATATACATACATATATATATATATATATACATATACATATATATATATATATACATATATATATATATATATATATATATATATAATATATATATATATATAATATATATATATATATATATATATATATAGCGTCATTCCATATCAAATCATCAGATTTTTTAACAATACGTAAAAGAAAAGAAAACAAATATTGAACAGTATCTCAAGCGGTTTCAGATTTACAGCTAATCCAAAAATGCCTCATTTCAGGGTCCGGCGCCGCCCAAGTTTCACTCGCGCGAGGATGCTCTGACATTCCGTACTTCCTGTGTGAATGAAAATTTGTACCCTGCGCCTTTTGATGCCGAGGAATCCAAAAATCACACATAGAATATCATGAAATGGAACTCTGTAAGAATTTGGTTAATGAAACCATTGGTTTCAGGAAAAAAAATAATAATCTTCATTTTAAGCCGACTTTTTCCGTCTCCCTTAACATACAACAGTTTACTTTATACCAATGGAAAGAGCATTTTTGAACCGTTTAAAAACAACAAGAGAACCATTTGTATATGTAAGAGACAAAAGAAAATTGCAGCTGAAAATCTTCGATTTTTGTGAAAATTTGCCATTGTACATAAATTGTTACCAATTATTTTGGATCATTTGGTTGCAAGCATGGCCTCGAGAGTTCATTAAAAGCCCACCAGTTGTATAAGATCTGGCATTTGAATCTTTCTGAGTATCAAGACTTCAAATCATCCACAAAACAATTTTATAAAAGTCTGATGCCACAGATATCCTCACTACTCTTGGATTTGAATAACACGCGAAAGGTATGGTCAGAGAGACTCAAGTGATGACCCTACTTTAAAGCAAATAACAGATTACCTTTTAGTTTCCCAGAGTAAAAATATTACATATTTGTTTTAAATCAGTTTCAGTTTGATCATATGTGCAGTCAGTGACAGTTATGGGTGCATCAATCTGGCAGATTATTTCAAGCAACATATTCATTTAAGCTTATTGTCTTCAGAGAAATGCATGTTTTGAGGTTTCCCAGTAATGTTAAATGTGCCTGCAAAAGCAACACCTTCAGATGTCCACTTGTAAGCAATGACACTTAATGTTTGTGGCTCAGAGTAGTAGCTTCTTGTACCAGGTATCGTATGTCTTGTCAAATCTGCTTTGCAACTTTCTATAAACATCACTCATTCCTTCTTTCGAGATAAACAAAAATCTGATGTCTGAAATGCTTTCTTGGCAGAATGTACACATCCCTGAAACAGTGAGAATTTTTGCTCAGACAATGGGCTCTGCAAGCTTGCTCGTGCTGTCACTCTCTTGACTCTTCCCTATTCCCTCTCATGGTGATTTGCAAAGAAAACTTGTTGCAAAGAAAGTCCAGTTTGCATCAATGCTGAAATCTGCTTTATGATAACACAAGGTTTTGTACTTCCTATCGGGGAAATATTAAACTTTGTTGACGAAATCTGATTTCTGATTCGTTGATTTTTAGTAACTATATTTCTTAGGCAAAATCGGTTTCATGGTCTAAACCATCTGACACAAAACGAAACGGTTTGTAGAAAAGTTTCCCTCTTTATGTAAGATAAAACTATTGGATGCCAATTCTTCATCCTTAGCCAAGGTCTACAGAAGTACTTATAAAGAGTGTTTACTATGGTATTGTCTTCAAACCTCTTTTTATAGGCCTTCAATACTATAATCTCTACCGAAAGAGATTATACGTATTCATATATATATATATAATATATATATATATATATATATATATATATATATTATATATATATATATATATATATATATATATATGTATATATATATATATGTATATATATATATATATATATATATATATATATATATATATATCTGTGTGTGTGTGTGTGTGTGTGTGTGTGTGTGTGTGTGTGTGTGTGTGTGCGCGTGCGTGCGTGTGTGTTTAAAGTAAAACTGCAAATATACTGAACAGTTTTATTAAGCCTGAAACAGAAACCAGTGTTTATCTCGCAGAGAATACAAAGGATTCGTAACACACAAGCAGAACAGATTCCAATGAGCCTGTTTAGGCGAACCAAGTCCTCCAGATTTTAAAGGTTGCTACAATTAAGGGTTTATATCACATGCATTAAGGCCATTAGGGAAATTGGAATTCTATGGAAACATTCCCAGTATTTCATAAGATATGTAATTAAGATATTGTGTTTGGCGCGCCCATTCCGGCATGATAAAATGTAGTAAACAGTAGTGTGAAATGATTCATAAAATTGCTGCTATAGGTGGTATACAATCAATTTACACCGTGCTGTTCAGAGCAGAGTGTGAACCTGTATTCTCGACTACGAGAGGAATATAGAACGTGGAAGGTGATTTTAACTCTCTTTTACACGAGGGAAAGAAAACTGGTTGCCCACGACTGCGGAGAAAATGGTTTAAAATAATGAAAACAATTAAATTAAAAAGGCCCCTCTGCATTTTTCTATATCTCGGTAAATAAGCAACTCGATCAGAGTAATCAAAGGGTGGCTATCCACTCCAGAAAAATTACAATGAATTCATTTAAGCTCGTATGTCACTAGTCTTCTCTAACTCTGGAATTAGGGGAAAGGATAGATCAGTAGCAACTCGAGTAGGTGTCATGGCGTCTATTTATTTTGATGACGTCACTGACAGAGAGAAAGAAAGAGAGAGGTCTTTTCAATTTTCATAAAGGATAGAAAATAATTATTTTAATGGTTATAGCCCGGTCTGGTATCCTACATATTAAATGAAATACCTCTCATTCATTCATTGAGTGCATGGAGGTATTATCAAAAGTAGGTATACTTAATTCCTACAAGCTGAGTAAAAAAATATAGACCTTTGGCTTCTCTCAATGCGGCAATTCCACTTGAGAATCATTCATGCATGAACATAATTGCCCACTCTTCTCATCAACAGGGTGTTTTGATGATTGTTCAGTGAAAACATAACCATTAAAATAATTATTCTCCATCCTTTTTGAAATTTGAAATACCAGACTGGGATATTTTTAGAATAGCACATGTTCATGTTCACATTTTTTTACAATATCCAATAGTGTTAAAGTTTCAATGGCTTTTCAGGCGTTTTTGACTTCATAAAGTCTCGTTGGCCTGGTGTCCTACTCATCAAATACCTTTCACTCATTCACTGACTGCATGGGGGTATTAATTAAAGTAGGTATATTTAATTCCTTCATGCCTAGTAAAAATACAGGCCTATGGCTTGACTCCCACTGCGAGCAATTCCACTCGAGAATCATGCGTAGACATAATCGCCCACTCTTCTCATCAACAGGATTATTTTGATGATTGTTTAATGAAAGTATAACCATTCAAGTAATTATTTTCCATGATTTTTGAAAATTGAAAAGACCAAAATGATCGACCACATTCACAAAGCATCGTGACGTCAATGGAACGTCATCAAAATAAACAGACGCCATGACACCTCGAGTTGCTACTGATCTAGCTTTTCCCGAGGAATTAGACGCGACCCAGGGAATTCTGCCGCTATAATCTAAGCCTTTTTTGCCAGATCAGGCCATTTTTAGCAGGAAATGTGGATCTGTAGCCTGTGATCGATATACAAATTTCCTGAATACCACTTTGCAATTGCAACAAATCAAACACGTTTTGACTTTCCAAGATTATTATTATTATGATTATAGTAAGCTTTATCAAGAGCCACTGAAAAATTCAAGATTTATACCACCGAAGGTGTCAGTGCAGTCAAGATACAGCTAAGAAAATAATTAAAAATAGAAAGTCAGCTAATTACGTAAGAATATCATGTTAGCTGACGTTTTAAATTTATCAAGAGTCGAAGAAGTTACAATCTCTGAAGACAATCTATTTCAAAGTCTACAAGTAGCAGTAAAAAGGCATCTAGAAAACTGACGTAGACGATCGACTTACATCAAATGTCATTGAATTGAGGGTCATAGAACGTCTGCTAATTCTTGCAGGTTGATAAAAATCAGGTTGCAATCTTGTATAAGACTGAAAGAGCCCCAATATGAGAGTCTGGGTGGTCGGATGTAGCTCCAAGACCAGAGCTGAGACGAAGATGTAGAACATTGCCTTTGGATGAGCAAAGCGCCAACTTTTAGCTTTCTCAACAAAATAATAAATAAATAGAATAAAGCTTAAAGCACAATGCCTTTGGACGTGATAAAACGAGTGTTCATGTCAATATGGGTGACTAGAAAAGCTGACAATAAATCTACTTGCATTGCACTCACTCGTACACAAAACACACACACGATTGCTTCGGCATCATGAGAGGTTATTCAACAAAGTACTTGACTGATATCTTTTGTGAGATCATTTCGAGACTGTTTTTTAACATGACTCGTCGCATTCTTGATTCTTTTTCAAGCTCGACTTTTCCACGCTGTT